AAGATCAGGGAGCTCAATGTCAGTTCACTCAGTTGAGTCAAGCATTTCTCTGAGATCAAGTAAGTCGAAATGTTCTGCTCATGTTCCAGCTGAAGCAGGCCCCGAGCCCTCTGATGAAGAACATGACAAAGAACAAACTGATGAAAGAGCACCAAGCAGCATGTCAGCCAAATCAGTCAAGTCACATGTTTCTGAAATATCTGTTAAGTCTGCAGAGAGAGCACCAAGTTCGCTGTCAGTCAGATCAGAAAAATCCACAAAGTCTAATGTTTCTGCTACATCTAAAAGATCAAAAGTTTATGAAGTTCCCTTAGAAGATGGAGTTGATGCTACTGGCACTCCTGATGAAGGAGATGATAAAGAGGAAACCCAAGAGAGAGCACAGAGTGCAATGTCAGCCAAAACTGCAAAGTCAACTATTTCTGCCAAATCTACTAAGTCAAAAGGACTCGATGGTCCAGCTGAGGAAAATATATCTGATCATGAGGAACATGAAGAGAGAGCTCCAAGTAATTTGTCAGTAAGATCAGAAAAATCAGCAAAGTCAAGTCTTTCTGCAACATCAAGAATATCGAAAGTTTCTGAAGTTCCCTTGGAAGACACAGCTGAGAATCCTGAGGAAAGAGTTGTTGAAGGGGAGAGTGAAGAGAGAGCAATGAGCTCAAGGTCTGTCCAGTCAGTTAAGTCTGATAAATCTGCAAGGTCAAGTAAGTCTAAATGTTCTGCACATGTTCCAGCTGAAGAAAGCTTTGAGAGCCCTGATGAAGGAAATGTCGAAGAACAAACTGAAGAGCGAGCACCCAGCAGCATGTCAGCCAAATCAGTCCATTCACATGTTTCTGAAATATCTATGAAGTCTGCAGAGAGAGCACCAAGTGCTTTGTCGGCTAAATCAGCAAAGTCACATGCTTCTACAAAATCTGTCAAATCAAAAGCTTCCGAAGTTTGTTCTGTCAAAAGTACTGGCCCTCCTGATGAAGGAGATGATGAAGAGGAAACCCAGGAGAGAGCACAGAGTGCAATGTCAGCCAAAACTGCAAAGTCAACTATTTCTGCCAAATCTACTAAGTCAAAAGGACTCGATGTTCCAGCTGAGGAAAATATATCTGATCATGAAGAACATGCAGAGAGAGCTCCAAGCACTTTGTCTGTAAGATCAGCAAAATCAGCAAAGTCAAATGTTTCTGCAACATCTAGAAGATCCAAAGTTTCAGAACTTGGCTTGGAAGATACAGTTGAGAATCCTGAGGAAAGCGTTGTTGAAGGGGAGAGTGAAGGGAGAGCAATGAGCTCAATGTCTGTCCAGTCAGTTCAATCAAATACATCTACAAGGTCAAATAAGTCTAAATGTTCTGCTCTTGTTCCACCTGAAAGCTTTGAGAGCCCTGAGGAAGGAAACGACAAAGAACAAACTGAAGAGCGAGCACCAAGCAGCATGTCAGCCAAATCAGTCCAGTCACATGTTTCTGAAATATCTATGAAGTCTGCAGAGAGAGCACCGAGTGCTTTGTCGGCTAAATCAGCAAAGTCAGCAAAGTCACATACTTCTACAAAATCTGTCAAATCAAAAGCTTCTGAAGTTTGTTCTGTCAAAAGTACTGGCCCTCCTGATGAAGGAGATGATGAAGAGGAAACCCAGGAGAGAGCACAGAGTGCAATGTCAGCCAAAACTGCAAAGTCAACTATTTCTGCCAAATCTACTAAGTCAAAAGGACCCAATGATCCAGCTGAGGAAAATATATCTGATCATGAGGAACATGTAGAGAGATCTCCAAGCAATTTGTCTGTAAGATCAGAAAAATCAGCAAAGTCAAGTCTTTCTGCAACATCAAGAATATCGAAAGTTTCTGAAGTTCCCTTGGAAGACACAGCTGAGAATCCTGAGGAAAGCGTTGTTGAAGGGGAGAGTGAAGAGAGAGCAATGAGCTCAAGGTCTGTCCAGTCTGTTAAATCAAATATTTCTACAAGGTCAAATAAGTCTAAATGTTCTACTCGTGTTCCACCTGAAGAAAGCTTTGAGAGCCCTGAGGAAGGAAATGACAACGAACAAACTGAAGAGCGAGCACCAAGCAGCATGTCAGCCAAATCAGTCCATTCACATGTTTCTGAAATATCTGTAAAGTCTGCAGAGAGAACACCAAGTGCTTTGTCAGTTAAATCAGCAAAATCACATGCTTCTACAAAATCTATCAAATCAAAAGCTTCTGAAGTTTGTTCTGTCAAAAGTACTGGCCCTCCTGATGAAGGAGATGATGAAGAGGAAACCCAGGAGAGAGCACAGAGTGCAATGTCAGCCAAAACTGCAAAGTCAACTATTTCTGCCAAATCTACGAAGTCAAATGGACCCAATGATCCAGCTGAGGAAAATATATCTGATCATGAGGAGCATGCAGAGAGAGCTCCAAGCAATTTGTCAGTAAGATCAGCAAAATCAGCAAAGTCAAATGTTTCTGCAACATCAAGAAGATCCAAAGTTTCAGAACTTGGCTTGGAAGATACAGTTGAGAATCCTGAGGAAAGAGTTGTTGAAGGGGAGAGTGAAGGGAGAGCAATGAGCTCAAGGTCTGTACAGTCAGTTCAATCAAATACTTCTACAAGGTCAGATAAGTCAAAATGTTCTGCCTGTGCTCCACCTGAAGAAAGCTTTGAGAGCGCTGATGAAGGAAACGACAAAGAACAAATTGAACAGCGAGCACCAAGCAGCATGTCAGCCAAATCAGTCCAGTCACATGTTTCTGAAATATCTATAAAGTCTGCAGAGAGAGCACCAAGTGCTTTGTCAGCTAAATCAGCAAAGTCAGCAAAGTCACATGCTTCTACAAAATCTGTCAAATCAAAAGCTTCTGAAGTTTGTTCTGTCAAAAGTACTGGCCCTCCTGATGAAGGAGATGATGAAGAGGAAACCCAGGAGAGAGCACAGAGTGCAATGTCAGCCAAAACTGCAAAGTCAACTATTTCTGCCAAATCTAC